GAACTATGCGGTGAGTGTTTTTCACTCACCTCATAGTTCTAGCCGACCTGTGACAATGACACTGTCACAGGTCGGCTTAGTAGATCAGGAGGTGAGCGAACACATACCGGCGTTCGCTCACCTCTCGATCCTGTCACAGCACTCTGCCATGACAGGGGAGGGGCTGGATTCCCCCCTCCCTTCTCCGATCCACCAGCGCTGACTGGCGGAACAGACGGGGGAGGGGGCGGGTACAGCTGGATCTGCCTCTAGATAGGCAGAGCCAGCTGTCACGCAGCTGGGCGGATCCCGGCATAATTGTCGGGATCGTTTCAGCTGCGGCGTCTCAGTATACCGCGAGCTACAGCTCCCGTTATACTGAGCCTAGGGTGACGGGAGGACACTAGTTTGTGTCCTCCCGTTACCCTGAGAACTATGGGGAAAAGCCTTAACCCCATAGTTCTCCTTTAATCATAGCCAATTATTAAGGCCTCTTTTGGCTGAAACACGTTATAAGAAATACAGAAGATTTGAACTGGATCCAGAACCTTGTGCAAATACTTTGTTCTACTAAAAAAGGATCGTAGGCCTTTTTCGATCCAATGTGTTGCATTGGCAGACCTTTCAAAAGAAACAGTTAGCCCTAACTCAACGAATGACTAAGTGTGACTAGACCCTTAATCAATTGTGCAGGCTTGCCAATGCAAAGTCATTTTAACCTGCCTTTTATTATTTATCAATGACCCCACCAGGCTAGAAAAAATCCCTAGGTAGAACACTGATTTGACAACCATTCTTGAGCAGTACTGAGACTATCCCATGAACACAGTAATGCAAATTTCCCACATCTAAACAAAGCTCTGAGTGACTATAGACAAAATGTAAAACATTTAGAATACCAGAGGCCTCTTTTTTCTGAAAATCACCATGAATTTCCAGCAATGCATGTAATAGTATACAGAATTTTCTGAAGTATTTTCCTGTCTGTCTGGCTCAGACAATGTAACCTAGAAAGCAGCGATTTTACCTACGTAATCCAAGCCATGGATAGCTTGCGAAAATGAATAATTCAGCCAACAAAAGATACTGATGTCATTACAGATACAAATGTTAGCACAATTACAATCATCAGATGTTCCTGTGCTGTATTGTTATCTGGTGACAGTTACAAATATGGTTATACGTGCTGTCAATCACTTGTGGAACAATCCTAAAATGGCTTGGCATTGTCTCGTAATGATTCTTTATCCACTTACAGCTGGGTGAGTGCGTAGTCAGATTCTTTACAGCAATCAAGACGCACTATGCTAGTCCGTTAAGCACAGATTCTGGGTCTAAAAACGCACATAATTAGTTGCATTGTGGATCTGTTCCCACCAGGCGGTTCACAGGGATCATTCTATAGCCAGAAATGACTGAACAGGGTGCACTACATGTAGCGCTGGGCAAACAAAGTCCTAACAGCTCAAAATTGCTGTCTGATGGGATAATTTAATCTGAAGAGAAAATTGAAGTGAAATTCTTCACGGTCAACAAACTCTAGAATGACAAATTCTATTTATCATTTATTATTTCAGTATTTATATAAAGTCACTATGTTACCCAGTACTTTACAGAGTGTACAGAACCATTCACATTTGTTCTTGTGCCCAGAAGGAGCTCACAGTCTCATGTTCCTAAGTTCTTACATACATTAGGGGCAATTTGGGAGGAAGGCAATTAGGCAATAATAAGTGTATACATTGTGGGAAGAAATTGGAGCAAACCCATGCAGACACCACAAGAACATTTAAACTTCATGTAGATACAACACTTTTCAAGCAGTTCACTGACTGTAACCATTTTACACTCTTCCTTTTAAACATGATTCTTAGGGGTTCTTAAAAGGGATTTTCCATTCTCATCTACAGATAAAAATGACCTCCACAAACTGAGAAGGACAGCCTAGAGGAAGGTGCCAACCATTCAGCAGCAGAATTTACAGAGTGCCAAGAGTCAAGGACTCTTGACCATTATCCACTGAAGGTAGCTATGACCTTAAAAATCAACTGAGGTCAATAGCTCTCTAAGTGCAATCCTAGGAACTTTAAAACCAGGATTCAATCAGCAGAATTAGGTTGGTTATACTTTGATTACTCCACACGACAGGATGAAGGCAGCCAAGGAGCATTTTGTAGTATATTATCCGCTTCTTCCAGATGAGAAGTACTAGATGAAATCATCTTAAGTATCTTATGGAGATGCCTCTTGAAAGTGCCCTAGAAACTATGTCAGGGTCATGGGGCAGACATAGAACAAGTCAGCTGGACTAGATTACACATCTGGTTTGCGAATACCTTGGAATACCCCAAGAAGTGCTGGTTTGCATTGATGAGCCAAGCTGGGATAGCCTAGCTCTGCATTCCTCCTTCACAACCTTTTAGAACAATGTGGCTTAAACGTTATGACAGGAATAATGCTATAGTAAAAAAATTATAACTTTGATATATAACATGGCAAGTTACTCAACTACTTGAAAAAAACATCACTGGCTATTCAGGGCAAAATGTCAGATTCCTTTGAAAGAACCACCCCCACCGGCTGGTTCTGACCTTTGCTATACTTCACCACTCCATTGCTCTGTTGAAGCACTTGGAAACACCTAGTGCTTCTCTCATTATTTTAGGGGAACAGTGCACCTAAGCAGCCAATCACCAAACCTAAACACTATGATGTGAGTGAGGGGAGGAAGTCATTAAATCTCTGCAATTTCCGATTGGGTTTAGACTCCGAGCGCCAACAGGGTAATGTGGGGAGGCAAGTATCAGTGGATGAGGGGTTGTTCTGTGAGGAGAACCTATCACAGGATGCTTTATTTTTTTTTAAATGCATTTCTTTCAAAGGAACCAGGAATGCTCCAATTGCTTATTTATGCTTGAATGTGCAAATTCTCTGGGCGTTTTAGGTCAAAGCCTTGGCAACTCAGCTGGTTCTGTTAAAGTCTTTAACTACCTAACACTACCTTCATATACTATTTTTGGCACGCCATTTTATTTTTGGAAACCAGGAAACCTTACATAATAAAAGAGCAATGAGACTACATGATTCTACGTCAAGTCCATCTTTTACCTGCAAGGCACTTCCATAATACGGACAGATGTAGTAACATAATTGTACTAACAGCGGACAGATGTCCGGCAATAACAAGCAACTAGAGACCATCAAATTCTACGCACATATCACATGCTGCTGTTGCTTTTAACAGTGTAGCAGCTATTTTGTGCATTCTAGGGGCTGGATTTTGGTGAGTCAGCTATCTTTTTTCCCTTTGTCTATCCCCCTAGGGCTGTGATTTGGAACAAATGGACAGTTGTAGCCCTGGTACACATCTGGATCCCTAATTAAATTCATGGCACATTTACTTTTAAGTGATGTAAGTAGCGAGCCAAAATCTAGAAGGGCAAGGAGAAAGACCCAAGTGAAGAGGGATCCCTAGAAGAAAAATGTACACTCAAATTGAGAGAAAAAAAAAAACTAGACATGAAATCTATCATGGCTAAAGAACATGTAGAGTAAGGTAAAGTAGCCAACGCCCTAAGCTGAAAGAAGAGCCATGTGTGAACTACTTCTGAAAATGCTAAATGCCGGTCTGTCACTGGTTTCAGTGATTTGAGCTACTATCAAGGAATAAGCATGCAGCAAGTAAAGCCAAAATACCTCATTCTGCATGCTTGCTCCAGATTAGTGAAGTGCTTAAGTCATTGCATCTACATGGCTGACAAGGACAGTCTGTACATGCTCACAGGACAGTTGTTAAAGCCCAGCTCCAGCCCCCACTTCCCATTGAAGCACCCACCTACATACACTTTTTTTTTAAAACTCTTTATACATATTGTACCACAGAGGTAAGCAGCCTTGGATCTCCAGCTGTGGTGAAAATGCAAATCCCATAATGCTTCTGGTAATCATGCCTGTGGTTGTCATAGTCTTGCAATGCCTCATGGGACTTGTCGTTCCACAACAGCTGGAGTGCCAAGGTTGCCTACCCCTGCTGTACTATTTTCCATAGCTTCAAAAGCATCCACCTGTTCAAGGGTGGTTGTTCCAGGTCTTTCACACCTTTAGCAAACCAGTTATCCTTTTTGTCTAAAATATGCACCTTGCTGTCCTCGAAGGAATGGCCCTTTTCCTTAAGGTGTAGGAGTCTTGACCTGAACAACGTACCCTCCTATGCCGGGCCATTCCTTTGTTGCATTATGCCAACGTACAGGTCTTTGTATTCCTCACTGTACAATGTACATAGATCTATACATAGAAGAGACAACATACCCGCTCAGCAAACACCTGCCTTTTCATGGTGATTGGATTAAGGGGTCTGTGCTAATATACATTCTGGAGTATTTTCCTGACAGTCATTAGAATTGAAGAAGTGGTTGGGATAAGCTATGAAATGTCTTCAACCAGTCCAATTGAATGCAACTACTACTAGCTACACCATGGCCTGGATAAATGTGAACCTTAACCTTTTGCAGGTGTATTTAGTCTGGTTGTGTGACATTATGAGTCCTCTTCCTCCAGAAGTGGGAAGGTCCTGAATGCTGAAGAGATTGATGCCACATAATGATATGGCACCTCTCTCTGCATCATCTTCCTGTGAGTCAGTGGCCGGATGATGTACTTCTATGCAGTGGGTCTGTGCCACAGAGTCAAACCTGGTGGCTATTCCTTTACCCTGTGCTTACCCTTTTTGGCCACAGCATTAAGAGTATAACGCCTCTTTAAATGAACCTGCATGGGCAAAGCACAGGTACCCTTCAAAACGGGAGGCTAGAAAAAAGGGTCCCTGTAATGATATTTCTGTGGGGCCCAGCGACCTTGTTACCTTTGTAATAGCAATGTTCCTTTTGTTCCCCTACATATGAAAGGCGTAATGTTTGGTTTCAACCCGAGACATATTACAGTTAAAATTGATCATTTAAATCAAACAGAAAGCCCTGCCTGAGTTATGATTTTGTGACATGCTGGTGTGTGTCCCCTCTCACCTCAACGGGGAATCTTCTTCCATTGATGCTGTGCTCAGAGCCTGCCGATGCATTACTATGACCCCAGTGGAATTCTACTTTCTCTGCCTTAAACCTTCCCGGCAGCCCAGCACCGCTGATGAAATAATCATCTTTTAGCAGAATGGCAACTGTGCAAGAGAGAGAGAGAAAAAAAACACACAATGTCAGCAGTGAGCCAAATTGCACAAAATGTATTCTTTCAGCACAAGACAATCACACTCAAAATTATCATCACACACACACACACACACAAAGAGACTGCATTTCCAATGACTAGTTGCCTGGAATACACACAAAAAAAAAAAAAAGCTGCCGGTCTAAACATTTACAGCCCAATTCCAGTTTGTGGAAAAAGAAAATAAACAAACCTGCAGCACCGAAAAATAATAGAAAGCAGGCGGCTTTACCTACCCTGTTTCCAGTGCTCATCAACCCACTCGCCAATTCATTTTAGCTTTTCCGAGTTGACTGACACCCAGAGTCATTCAACCCACTCCCTGTGAGCCCGGGTACCATGGCTCCACTCCTCATCCTGAACTCAAAGAAGAATGTTCTGCTTTGAATTAGACTGATACTAAAGTGAAATTTTAAAAGGCGAAATACAGTGCCCTTTCCTTGAGAACATATTTGAAGCTATGTGAAGTTAAGGTATCAGACTCTCACAAAGTGCTCTGCTTTCAGACCTTTATATAGAATTGCAAAGCAGAAAGCAGAGCCTGAGCAGATATGGCTTCTCCCACGTACATACTGAATTACGAACCATACTTACTAAATATTTAAAAACAAGTATATTAAAAACATGAACACACACCGATAACATTATATGGCAAATATGGTTTCTTCCACGTACATAATTATACACCAAAACATGTCAAAACAATTTATTACAAAACATTAGCACCCACGGATAACAATTTAAACCAAGCTCATCTTTTAAAAGTCGAAAAGACTATACATACCTTTTAATTCTTTAGTGTGCAGTGACCAATTTTCCAAGTCGAAAGAAGAAAAAAAAGGGGAGGGGGGATTGGGAGCAAAGAAGGAGCAGTAAAGCACAAGCACTTTGCAGAAAGCAGAGTAGCTGTATAGTAAGCAAGAATGGCTGCCCTCATTTAAATACAGACACAGTGCAAGGGTCTGCTGCTTGTTTAATCCAAAGGGGATGTGCAGAAGAGGAATACTTACCTTGTTCCTCATCCCCCCTGGTAGCCGGCGCTGTTCTACAATCTGCTCCAGCCCCAGAATAGGGCAGGTCCTTGACACCCTGCCATACTGCATTCTACATGATGATGTCGGTGAGGGAGTGGCCTCACTACTGGAGAAGAGAAGCAACTTGGGGAGAAAAGTCATATGGAACCAGCAGGGAAGTATCATGTATTCTTCCGCCTTACAATTCCTTGGACTAAATGAGCAGTAGACCCTTACTATTAGTTTGGGGGTCCAATAGTTATTTTAAAAGGCTAATGGTCTAATGACTCACTGCCCACGTTCCCGATACAGGAAGCTCGGGTATCGGGCTAGGCATCGGAGCATTTGGGCGAGTACTCGCCCAAATACTCGGCATCGGCACCGATGCTATTATTGGTACATCCCTATTATAAACTGTGTTGGGAAAAAAAATGGAAGGATAGAACCGGATTGGTTGCTAAAGACAAGTGTACCAGTTGAGATAGAACTGGTCTTAGAACATTTTTATTAATTTCTTCCCAATATTTTCCAGGAGTACATTAGCTTCTCTCCCTTCCCTGTCAAAAAGGCAAGTTCCAAGTAAATGCCAATTGGTTTAATTTTTGGTTTTGGAATTTCAATATTTTATTTTGTTTGATATTTTTTTTGTTTGGCGACAGTCACTTTAATTGGATTGCATTTCACAAATGCTCCATAAATGGGTGGATGGATATTCGGCTGTAATATCAGTCCTAATAACAGTCTTATCGAGATGCTGACACCTCTTGGATTAAGATGGCTATAAACTATTGTTCCTGTTAACTGTTCCCACCTAAGGTTCTGTAGTGTGGTCCAGACAACAGTGGTTTTAGTATGTTCACCTTTCCTGAAGGCCAGCACAACTCTGTGTAGAGAGAGTGATGCACAGAGTGCACAGAGTATTTAAGGGGGGGGGGGGGGGGGGGCATTGATGCATAACACAGGCCGTTAAGTCCGAGTCCAGGAGCTCTGGAGAAGGCAGTCTATGGAGCTAGCATATGAACAAACCAGAATGGTTTAGCGTGCCTCCAGTACATTTGACCTTGATGTTCCTGGTAGTTTCAATTTTAAACTATTCTCCGGTGGTGCACTTATCCTCCATTTGTCCCTCCCTTTATCTGTTAAAGTGACATTAAACCCTCTGATTTTTTTCACATAAACCAATACTGTAATGTGTGCCTTACTATAATCCATGGTAGTTTCCCTTCTCTTTGCTGCTCTTCCTTTTAAATCTGAATCTCTTCTCGTGCTGGGGGAGAACTTCCCTTTGTAGCTCAGTGCCTCTTCCTGTAGTGCTGGCTCAGGTTGTGAACCTGCACACAGACACCATGTATCCATTCCAGAGACAAGGCAGTCTGCTGCAAAAACAGAAGTTCTGCCCAGCATGAGAAGAGATACGGATTTAAAAGGAAGAGCAGCAAAGAGAAGGGAAACAACCATGGATTACAGTAAGGTACACATTACAGTATTGTTTTAGGTTAAAAATCTGAGGGTTTAATGTCACTTTAAGCATTTTGCCTTTGGAAAGACCACTGAAATCTTGACAACTTCTTAGTGGTTCGGCATATTCCTACGTTAGACATTTCTTCTTGCCCACTGATTTCAGCATGTACGTCTACATTCAATAAGCAACTGGCTTTGGATTCCTCAGTTACAAACGGTGCAAATCCCTTTTACAAAGATATACAGTACAACTGTTGTCCCCACTTCCCCACACCGCTATTAAAAGACCCTTCACTACAGACCGGGGAGAAGATACAGATGGAATCATATTCAAGGAAAGGAATATAGGCATTTTTCTGGAGCGATGAGTATATGTGTACTATTTTGAGCCAGGTACTGAAGTGCTTAATGGCTGTATTGATCTCATTCATTTTCTTTTTTCTCAGTGGCAGGAGTACAAGGTATCGCTATAACTGAGGATGGAGCACTCGAGTGCAGAGAGATGGGTTCTGATCAATGGTGCAGAGATGAAAGGACAAGTATCCCCGGATGAACTTATTTACTTATCAGTGAATCAGTGATGTTTCGATATCATTCTTTGAATTAAGTTCTAGGACCGAGGCAAGCTTCCAATGTCTTCTTCATGAGAACAAACTGAAGACCAGACTGAAACTTAACATGATTGCATTAAATGTGCAAAATACAGCCTGTTTTGCACAAATCAGTACTATTGAAAACTCCGACAGTATGTGACTTGTACATTAACCCTTCAGCCACCATCTGTACATTTAAAGCAGAACTACAAGCAAATCAAATCTTAGCCCTAGCAGTGGGGCTACCCATACACCTAAGGCTGGCCATACACCTGTCAGTTTATTTTGTTCAACCCACAGGCTGCATGAAAGAAATTGGCGTAATTCCTTCATCAACACAAACAGCGAGTCGATCGAGGAATTGCCGCTGTTTGCATTGTATTCTTACAGGTGCTGCCACCAATACCCAATCAGAGCGGGCAGCTCATTTGCTACCGGCTCTGATCGCACAAACATTTTCCAGTAGGCTCCTTCGATCAGCTGATTGAGGAGCCAACAGCCCCAACACTGTGCAAATTTTGGCCGGTACATTAAAAACCAGCCGAAATTCATCCAGTGTATGGGCACCTTCAGTGCTTGTTTGGTCTAGGGAGCTAAAACAAAGTTATACTCACAAGAACCACAGTTCTGGCTTGCCCTTATACCTTTCCCTGCAGGCTGTCTCCTCCTCCACTCAAGTGATGGAATGTTGCTTGGCATCCTTATGTCCTGTGAAGACTCACATGAACTAAGACCACTGAAGCGGAGGGGGGATTGAGGCTGAAGGGAGCAGTCTAGGAGCCAGCTGGGATCATGGTTTTGGCGAGTATAACTTTATTTTTTTCTCCTGAGACATAAGCCTCACTGCAAGGGTTAAAATTTGATTTATCCAGAGTTCTGCTTTAATGTTTCACCTGCACGATAACCAAGCTCCATATTTTATTCCCCCAATAAAAGCATGGTTGTTAATTTCCCAAACATTGTGCACAAAAACACCCCAAATCAATTTAGATCACCTTGGAGTGTCTACTTTCCCCAAAGGGGTCATTTCGGGGAGATTTTGTACGGTCCAGGAAATTTTATGTGCTATGTTTTATAACAGCAAGTAAAGAAAACCATTTTATTTTACATTTTGTGTGTGTTTTTTTTTTTTTTTTTTTATATAATGAGTAATTCTCAGTCAAACTACCACAGCACTAAAAACTAAAAAATGGCCTGGTAATGAAGTGTTTAACATGCCAGTAGTAAAGTTGTTCAATATACATACTTTCCTTGTGGGAGGTATATAGTCCTGAATATCTTCAAAGGAGCCACGCTACTGCTCAAAGCACTCAAATGGCTTGGGTATGCCTTAAATTTTGTCTTGTAAATACACAGATTGATATTCTATACAGATATATTGATCATGTATGAGAATTATTTTATCTTCATGTGATATTTCAGATTACCTCTGTTCTCCTGACAAAGCTGACCACGAAACGCGTTGAGAACAGAACCGTCTCCACTCTGGAGTGTTTAGGTAACTTACGATTACCTTATTTTGATCCACTTGGTCATTATATACCAGCGGATACAACTCTACAGCTATAACCTGACATATTTGGAGTGGTTATCAGAGGTATTATGTAACAACATTGCTGAAACATTATCTTGCTGTACCTTACGGACTTTTAAAACACAGGATTTGTTTAACCTTTTTAACACACGTTTATGTCTGGCACCTTGAAAGTGTCATATATGTTTATATGTTGAGACTGATGGGAGTGTGGTGCCCACCGTTCAGTTCATTGTACTGGATAAGGCTTTACATCTTTATCTCTCGGGAAAAAACACTGCTTCCTGCCCTCACACTGCAGTGGCCTGGGCTTTCAGAGACGAGTAACAGGCACACCTCTTAGCACAGGTGTCAACACAAAGACTTCTACAGCAGAAAAGAGGAGGATGGGTGTCAGAACATTTATGTTGCTGTGGTGACAAATGAGAGCACAGTGTCTTTCGGATGACTATTGGATTGCAATGACAACACGTTTTTATATACAGCATCTATCCGAATGCCTATCCATTACCTTTATGTGACTTTACCTCGAGTTTAGAGTACATCTAAATAATCCTCTTTTTGCTGTGTGCAGCAATACCCAATAGTAGGGATGCACCGATACCTTTTTTTTTACGAGTACCGATATTTTGCTTTTCGGCACTCACAGATACCGAGTATCGATACTGGTGCTTCCGCTGGCATGGATCCGGCTTCCTGGGCAATCAGGAAGCTGGGCGGTGGGTAATGACATGCTGCCTGATTGCCCAAGAAGGCTTCCTGATTGCCCAAGAAGCTGGCTCCATGTTGTTTGGCCGGCTCGATTATGACTGGCTGGAAAGTCAGTTTCCTGGCCAATCAGCATGGAGCCTACTTTACTTGCATTACTCATTACTTGCTACCCGGCTTCCTGATTGCCCGGGAAGATTGCTCCATGTTCCCCTACGGCACTGCCGGTCAGAGGAAATCTTCGTTCACACTGTGACCTGTGTTTCTCTGCACCTGTGCAATGCAAGTCTCTGCAAGTGCACAGAAATAAATATTTTCTATGTGCCCTGTTCACAACACAATGCACTTAACAGGTGCAGAACAGACCGGTTTTGGGAAAATGCAACATATCTGCATTTTTCTACATCACACATCCATCCGCATAGCTGCGGTGCATAGACATGAACTAAATGTCACTCTGTGACTTTTCAAAAAAGTTTTTTTTAAAGTTGTAGGAATGCCAGGTAGTGCCACCCCCACAGAACGTTTTAGCATGCGGGCTAGTGTGAATGGGCCCTGACTGCCACGACATTGGCAATGAAAGGGTAATATGTTATAGTCACATGGATAAAAATAAGAATCATTATACTTGTGTTAAAACTTTGCGATTTCAACCTAAGTAACTATTTCATAACATACATTTTTATTCTTGGTGTACCAATCCGTCAGCAGTGAAAAATACAATTCACTTAAGAGTTTTCACACACAGATGACCCAGATTGAAGGTGAATTACAGTATTTTCATAGTTTGCAGAGACGCGACAAGCTCTGATGCATATCACATAACTTAAGATGCACAATGGGGATTTAATTGCATCATATAAATACTTGATCAGCTGTGAGTGATTAATCGTACCCGCCGAGGTCATCTTACTTGTTTTAGGATAAATAATTAAAGGAATCTCTGGAAAGATTTACTGTTTGAAATGTTCAGGCTAATAGTCAGTTTTACTGGGTTTTGCTTTCATACTGAACATACAAGATGCATCAAAGCCTCCGAGTAATCCACCCATCATCCCAGGCTATTGTTTATAAGTATTACCCCCTGGCTGTATTACTTATTCAATAGAACCCATACAATCATAGCAAATACATTATCTAGTTAAGCTGAATTACAAATCAATTACGTTAGTATACACTAATGCATATTTTGATATATGATTGCTTCGGTCGTATCAGGACGACATCCCAAATGTGTTCACTATTAATATTTAATACAGAGATTTACCAGCTTACAGTGTAACCTCAGCCGGCTCCTCTTTTCCAGGTTTGGATAGGGGGTGGACGGTCAGAAACGCGGCAAGGTTTTAAATTGTCGTCATTTGTGTCCCCATTGGGGAGATTCACTTGACATGAACAGCTATAGAGGGGAAATAGTCCAAAGAGGGAAATCCACATTACTTTACTCCCCTCACTAACTTTAGGACAGAAAGTGAGGGGAGATTTCCCCAACAGAGACAAAAACAAACACCTGTGATTTTGACCTTTCATCACCGTAAAAAAAAAAATTTGTCTGGAGCTCTACTTTAACAGGCATGCACGGATACTTTTTTCCACTATCGAATACCGATATTTTTTTTCTGGTACTCGCCGATACCGAAAGCCCCATTAAGGAAGCCGGGCGGCATGTAGTGACTTGCCGCCTGGCTTCCTGATTAGGTTACAATGAAGCATGGAGTCGGCTTCCCGGCTAATACGGAAGCCGGGCGGTGAGTCAATACAAGCCCCCCAGCTTCATTACAAGCCCCCCAGCCGGGAAACCAGCTCCATGCTCCCGGGTGACGAGGGGATATGGAGCATGCTTCCGGATACAGGAAACAAACGTTATCGGGAGCATTTGGGTGAGCACTAGTATAGGCATCGGTGCATTCCTACGTTATAGTGACTATCTAAAATAGATTCCTAAAGGAAGGTCCTAGCAAAAGGTGAGCTCTCATGCTCATCTCCCTGACAGCCCGTGTCTGGCACCATCTCTCCATTCCAGCACTGCAAACAGTCTCTTCGGCTTTTTACACTTCTGGGACTGTTGGATGCCCATGTCCCCCCCACTGGGTGCCAAATGTTTTCCTTTGACCCGTATATGTCACTACAGGACAAATCAATGATGTAGGACTTGGAGGATGGAAGAACAGTGCATGGTGGGGGACATGCCTTGGCATCTAGTCATATGGCCACTTGCTGTAGAAGTAATCATGAGAGGTAAATATTTTCAGGGTTCTTCAACCAAATTCCAGCTACAGCCAAAAGGAAAAATTTGATCTATTAGAAGCAGCTAAATAAAAATTAAAAAGCAGCTCCAAATGCTATACTCGCCAATCTCAGATGCTGTCCCCCGTAGACTCACTGATCCAGCCACATATGCCGCTCTGGACTGCATGATGTCAATGGCCCATTTAATTGATTATCTGTGAGTCCAGGGCATCAAGGCTCCGCCCCTGCCCTGAACTCCTAGAAGGACAATCTCATTACATGGTGCCACCCTCTACAGCATTTAAAGTCCGCCCACTGGTGGCAAAAGAGGTCCTGTATCATTGGGTCCAGCCAAAGACACCATTTCTAAAGTTACAGCGTTGTGTCATGGGTGCTTCGTTGGGGGCAGGAGGGAGAGTGTGGACCCAAGCCCAGACTTGAGATTTCAAATAAAAAAGTTTTGAGTTTTATTTTTTTTAATGAGCAGGGAAAAAAGTTTTGAGTGATAAACATAGAATCAGTGTTTTAAAAATTCAGACTAATTAAATGTATATGTTTGTAATTTTATTTGTACATGGAGCAGCTATTTTTGTTCACTGCATATGGTGGACCGGTTTTGCTTCCCATGGCTACACAATGGCTGTGCTTTACTGCTCCTACTTAGGATAAAAGTCTGAGTTGGCAGAATGATTAAAAACACCACACCTACTGTGTCGCTCATATTTTGGGGTCAATTTACTAAAGGCTTTGCAAATAATACAAAATCACATGCAAGAAAAAAAAATTAAAACTTTTTTTTTTTGCTTGCACTTGACTGGATGATTGAAGTCAGAGGAGCTTTACCTCATCAAAGTGAAGCGAAAATTCCCTTGCCAAATGAACAATCTATTTGCCTTTAGTAAATCATCCCCTTTGTCTCAACAGTTAGGGCCAGTTCACACCACAAACAGTGCGCTCCAGAGTGGTCAGGCTCTGTATCGCAATCCGGCCTGCTCCCTGCATTCAGGGGTGGGAGGGGGCGGGGCGGTGTATTGAAGTCAATGGCACCACAGCCACACCCCCTGCCCGCAGTGCAATCACCCGCACCCGGATGTGTGGAACAGTAGTGCCTGCGTTCTGGCCCAGTGCAATCTGCAAAAATGGTGCTTGCAGCATTTTTGCAGATCACACTAGACCAGAATGAAAGCATTAATGTGCCACGCATGCGGGTGATCGCATTGATGTGCCATTGACTTCAATGCACCGCCAGGCCCCCTCCCGCCCCTAAACGTAGCCAGCCGGCGTGCAATACAGTGCGTTCCAGAGCCTGACCGCTCTAGAACGCACTGTTTGTGGTGTGAACCAGCCTTGAAGAGACACATACCACTTGCCCTGGGCTACTGAGAGATTCAACCAGTAGCTCATCAACAAATTTAATACAAGAACAATAATATGGAAGGACATGCTTGTAAAACTGTGTCTGTCATATCAGAAATTACTTTAATGTGAACTCTGCAATAACTCTAAATGCACGCTCATTGAACATGAACTAGACTTTTATTTTAGTTTATTTTCTAACTACAACCCCCCTAATAAAATTAAAAAATCTATTAAACTGCAGTATCACTTTATATATATTCTTCCTAATGAAGGCAGCAATGTAGAGGACGCAGTGACTAAGGAGGGAAGATATCTAACAAGCAGTTCTCCTGAGTGTAATAGACTTGCACACAGTTTCTAAATTAGTCATTACAGGGTTTTAAACATTGACAGAATCTGATCATTCACCTGTTTTCCCCGTGTTCTTCATCCAGGTCTTGTTAGAAGACTCGTTCTCGAATCCTTCAAGGTACAACTCCCGGTACTCATCCTTCATGCTGGCTGTGTAATCCACAATATCTATAGGGGACTGGTGGAGACCTCCACAATCCGGGCTGGCCATTACCCAGTGTTCTGGTCCATACACACCTGAAATAAATAAAAACATTTTTTTAGAATATATAGACACAGACCCCATGTGTCTACATAGCGACAAGCAAAGACTAACATTAACCACTCATTACTGTGGCTCTTTAAGAGTCCATCCAAGATAAATCAAGCAATATTTATCATTTATACAGTTAAAACGAAATGCAAATCAAAACTTGTTCTCTCATAGGATTAGAGCTTTTTTAAATTATGTATGTGCCATAATGTGGGAAAATCTGCCCGTACTTTCTCTTGCAGACATAACAGGAAGTGAAACAAAATCTCTACCAAGAGTCCTTTTCAAGCCCTCTTCTCAACCAAAGCCTGGCTGATAAACTCTAATATAGGTTTTATTGCCCATCCTGCCTTGTTGCTAGACTCATCCAACATTTGGTGCCTCCTCACCTCAAAGTAGGATGGCCAATGTTTACTATATAGGAGTTTTTCATCCAAGTTTCAGGGGGTAGCGGCAGTAGGGTGTGAATGGCCTGCAGGTATGGAACTTTTAGATTGTAAGCCCTCAGGGGCAGGGCCCTCCTTGCCATCTTGTCTTGAATTGTATTGCGATTGTAATGTCTTCCTTATTATGGAAAGCGCTGTGCAAACATTTGACGCTATACAAATCCTGTATAATAATAATAAATAATAATTTAATTTACTCTGACAGATTATTTTTAAAGCTGCTTCTTATATATTTTTTTAAACCTACCCCTTTGTGTGCACGGTCACCTTTATGCAAAAGGGGTGCAAACGGCGGGTGCAAAAGGCGAATGCAACCTTCAATGATTTCAGCAAACTGCTTTATATCATCACATTTGTCAGAAACATGAAACTGTACTTTGTAACTCCACCGCTTTAGTCATACTTGAAACATACTCAACCTCACAGCAGTATAAAACCGCCTGGAAGTAAAAGCCAAATTAATTTTGCCTTTAGGGTTACAAACAGAGAAGCTGTCTCAAAAAAAGATCAACTAAATAAGATTACATTGAAAATCTTTTGCCAACATGGTGATGCAATGTTTCTACATTTCTATCTTGTTGGATAATGGCCAAAACAAATTGTTGCAAATACCTTACTGTTTGCAAACATAAAATAGGAAGTTAGTATCCTGCCAAGCAAATAGAAGAAGTTTTCATACTGCGCTTGAAAGGAAAGTCTACAATGAGCTAAGAGTACAAGAGCTTCCTTAGGTTACTGAGTGGAGGAATAAAAGGGGGATTAATCCAAGAGAGAAAAGGGCAAAGACGGGACTTCTAGGTAGCGGTAAGACAGTTTTTCTACTGGGATGAAGGAGATTAAAGTTCCTGTAAATGTTCAGGTTTTATGGAAATAAAACCACAGCATGATCATCTAGTTTAATGCCATGTCCTGAGTAAGCAGCGGAAACAGAAAGAGCAGAGAATGGGGCCATTTTGATAAATTGTACAAGTCTGATAAACTGTACAATTCTTTTTTTAAATGTATTTTGAAACGATTTAATGCAAACTTTACGCAACAAAGAGAATTTAAAATGGGTCTTACTTTACATAACATACCCCCGGGTACATGCATATCTGCTATTACTTGCACAGCAGACCAGTGTTTTTGTCACCAAGATCTTGGCACAGAAGCGGTACGTAGCTTTCAATATCCTGTAAGTGATGTATGGTATTCAAGGGCTTTAGAGTCAAAGCAACAGGTTTACTTAGGCCCCTTTCATACAGTTCAATCAGGAGGGGATTCATGCACAGATCCCCTGCGGATCAGAATGGATGTCACCATTGTTGATGACACATGTTGGCGTGTACTGAATCGGCTATGAACTCTGATCAGTTCGTTTATCCAGACCGGAGCTGGGGGTCACCAGATGTAAACAAATGCCCATCCGTTTAGATCCAGCTGCCTATAGACTAACATTGGGCTTTTAATCAGGTCTGCCTGGAAAACAGACGGACCTGATCGGAAAGCACGTCTGAAAGGGCTCTTAAAGCTGAACTCCGGGCACAATTTTTTTTAAATATATCTATCAATAGGCACAAAGGATATAAATCAATGCTGCGTGCGGCAAATGCCTTTGCAAACACAGTAGTTGGGACATCATCACTGTGCCTGTGTTTAGTAGTCCACGGACTGACCGCTTAGTCCAAAAACAACTGGCGGGTGCTGCAGTGACCAACGGATGGTGCCGTGACAAACACAAAGTAAAGATGGGGCACCGACACTTCAAATAGTGAATAGAGCATATTTTATTGATGGAAATACAACGTTTTGGGGTTACGCAGGATCCCCTTCTTCAGGCAAGACATGTGTTGAGAGAGTAGAGCTCTGGGAAGGACCCAGCCCCCACCCCCGCCCCCACATGTTTCTCTTAAACTGCGTTGTTTCACCAAACGAAATGGCAACTAACAGTCTCAGATGACTCCTAACAACCAATCAATTTTAAGCCAGCATAAAACAATTTACACAGCTCCTGCTAAACTAGTGTAATTCACCCCTCTGCTTATTTCTTCCAAAGTATCCACAATAAACTGGGCGATCAACTAAAATTACTGAATTATAGGAAAACTTCTGTATTTGTCAGCACAAACTGGACATGTACCATACGCATTTCGCACTGCACACAGTGCAGTTGGTCTTTGAGAGCATTGGTCTTTGTGAAATCAATGGGTGTTGTGCGAATTGAATTATGTTTGCTGTAACAAATAAAGAAGTCATCTTGCGATTCAGTGATCCTCCAATGTATTCTGCAGATTCAAAAGCACAGGAAAAACAATAAAACAATGGAATTAATGCTTTCTTCTACCTATCGCAAGCTGAGGACAAGAACTTTGTGGGGTTTTTTTTACACTTTCAGGAAAAAACGTAGCTTTTTTCGTTCTCATGTAAAAGAATATTCTATGTTAAAAGTCTTCCACATTTAAAATGTATCTGAAGAGCTGAAAACCAACATTCGCCATTGCAGGGAAAAGTCAACCACTTCTCAACGGGGATATAAACTGAGCAAAATACTGCACATCAAGCTAGAGATAATGCCTCATAGGCGAAGCTGGGTATCAGAGATCAGGCTGAAGAGAGCAAGGCAAAATCCATCTGAAGTACTCTTCCGTCTGTGGAACGCAGCCGCGCGTCACACAGAGCAGGCTACATTTGGCCTAAAGAATCGATAAAGCGGGTGGTTCTTTCCTCTCAAGAGGCTTTATACGTGAACACAACAAGCTCTTATGGTTGATACCACATAAGATTGTTCCTACCAAGCGGCCTGGTCTGAAAAGAGCAATCATATTGGATATATGAAGATGTCTTCATCGATTGCTCTGCCAACTACACAAATATCACATCAATATTATCAAAGCAAGGGTTACATTCTAGCAATTAAAGAATAAGCTTACCATTTAAAGAACGCCAGGCAAAACTTTTATTAACCCTAGCAGTGGGAATAGCCCCAAACTTTAAGGGTTAACTGCTCATTTTTGTCTAGGTGCTAAAAATAAGTTATACTCACCTGAACTGCCAAGCCGGCTCCCCGCTTCTCCAGTCTCTGAAGCCTGTCTCCTCCTCAGCGCCCTCATGTCTACACACACTCTATAGAACATTGTGATTTATGGGACCTTAGACTGCTGCAGCGGAGGGGGGAGAAAGGCTGGAAGGAGCTGTCTAAGAGCAAGCTGGCTTCTCCATTCAGGAGAGTATAACTTAATTTTAGAACCTAGACAGAAATGAGCAGTTAACCCTTGCAGTGCAACTGCAAGGGTTAACAAAAGTTTTGCCTGAAATTCTTCTTTAAGCCAATATAAAAGCAGGGGGTAGGGCTGTGAGTCCTGTAGTCTCCTTGAATTAAGAGGTTATGGTGATAGTACAGTATACTAAATTTTGGTCAAGAATAGGGAAACAAGAATGGTGTATGGTTTAACAAAAGTTCCCTTGAAATGGAAATTATAGGTGGGATTATTTTATGAACTAGAACTTTAATATATTATGTAATTATATGTGTGTGTGTGTGTGTGTGTGTGTGTGTGTGTGTGTGTGTGTTCAGGGCCATTTTTAGTTTTCAAAAAATATATTTTTTTTAGTTTAAAATGGGCTTTCAGTGTGTTCCAGGTGTTTGCATGCGTTTTGATGCGTTCCAGAGCAGGTAAAATAGGGCCTGCTGCAGTTTTTTTTACCTGCTTTGGAACTGAACGCTGTGATGTGAACTGGAGCTAAAAATACCATTGGAATACATTGGACGCAGTTTTGCTCCTGTCTGTAACTGCTCTGCGCTTGTTGTGAACAAGGCCTAAAGGGTAAAGAGTTTGGAGAAGGAAGGATAAGTGAACAATCTGGAACATAGCTGAACTAGAAAGTGAGCTGAACTGGATACAGCTATTTTGGCCTAGATTGTTCACTTCTCCAAACTCTTCAGCCTTTTGTATATAGCGCTGTTGGTATCCCCTGTACATGCACCTGGATGGCCGCCTTCCTGGAATCTGTCCAATGCTGGAAAAGGGACTTGCATTGCTGCAGTGACCTTGCTCTTGCACTGTTGCTTGCTCTACACTTTCCATCTGTAAGCGCATAGACCATAGAGTGAAGTCTCTGTTCCTAAAAGAGGACCCAGTGTGATGACAGCAATATGGGGTGGTGAGCAAACTTGGGGTTGTAGAGGGACTAAATAAAAGGTCCCTTTTCTATTAATAAGAAAGCTTCCACTTCTAACCTCCTCCTGAACATGTTACATGACTGGCTTTTATGCTGACCTACTAACTTTAATACTTTCTGACAAGTATACCCACAATAAAAGTCAGGGTAAATTGTAAAGTCCTTGTTTGCATTCTTGATCTGGGTTGTAACCCAAAATATTAACACCGGAGTGTCAGAATACCTGCCAGGACACCAGCTTTTGCAAAACGAGAGGTCAGCAATGTTTCTCTTGATCCTAGGCACCCAAAATTAATCTGCATACTTCAATACAACACCTTCTCACATTTCAGAAAAGGGAAAAAAGTGAGAATGATGCGTGGCAAAGGAAACGTCAGCGG